TTATTTTCTCTTTGTAAATATGATAATTCTCTTTATCTTTCTATCTAATATCAAAAGTACTTAAAGGTAATTTTCATAAATTAGTTACTATCATCCATGCATATATTTCATAGTACAGCTACTTTTTTTTTTCAAAGTGTAAGAACAGTCATTCAAAACAAAATGCCTAATGACAAAAGCCGTTAAGTGAGAAAACACTGACACAGCTTATAGTTAGGATCCACTGCCCATTCTGGAATGCCTACTGTGTGCTGTAGTTTCCCTTTAATTCCTCACAATGAAAAACAACAACGACAAAACTAGAATCCTTAGCATAGCCAACGCAATCTCTTAAAATCTACATTTCATTTTGCTGAGCAGGCTTTTCTAAATTGTAGAACAAAAGTAACTTTTTCAGGCAACAAAATATGGAGAATATATAACTTATCTTGAAGTGGAGAAAGCCTGAGGAAATCTAAATAAAAAAAATACAGACTTGCCTGAACAAAATTTAAAAACTACTGTAACAGAAAAATAAAAATAAAAAATTAAATCACACGAGAAAATGTTGCAATATATGAAAAAGGGTTAATTTTATCATATATAAAGAATACATACAGATCTATAAGTCATACCAATAGAAAAATGATCAAAGAACTTAAAAGCTCACAAAAGAAATATAAAAGATAAAAGTAAAAAAAGTTTAATAAGTTTTAACAAATAAAAAAAGTTTAACCTCACTAATCATCACAAAAATGTTAACAGCAAAATATTTTTCACCTATTATTACAGGTAAAGCTTTTAATATGGCTAATTCTTGGAATGGTATATTAGAGAGCTACTCTCAAAAAATGCTGGTAGGAGTGAATATGCATTCTAGATAAGAAGTACATATCAAAATCCTTAAAATGCCTCATCCACTGACATAAAATGACTCTTCTACAAAGTTATTCTCAGGAAATAATCAGCATTGCATAAAAAATGCTACAATCAAAGCTCATCACAATGTTACAGAAGTAAAGTAGTGGCAGAAAATGTACATGTGCAACAATAGGAAATTCTCTTTCACACAATTATAGCTATCAACTACAGTCACTAGGTTATACATTAGATCCTCAGTCCTTATTCATCTTAGAGTTGAAAGTTTTTAAACACAACAGTGCATATTAAAATTGTGGTTTCAAAGAATATACTATCAGATTGTTAGCACTGTCACAATGAAAAATATGTAATGCAGTAAGACAAAACTTGAAAATGGGGGGAAAAAAGGATATGTATAAAATAAAAGACTAAAAAATACATCAAAATGCTGGTAGTGGTTTTCACGGGCTTATGGAATAGTTGGTAAATTTTGTTTTCTCCAGTTTTCTGCATTTGCAAAATGTGCCAAAATTGACATATACTATCTTTTCAGTCAAGGGGCGGGGGAATTTTTTTTTTTTTTAAAGTACTATAAGTTAAGAAAAATGGCTCAGTGGGTAATCTTATTTTTCTAGAATAACTCAGTTTATTAGCTTACCTTGGCTTCCCCATCAGGTAAAAAGAGGTAGGCACCGCTTTTGTCCTTTTTACTTGTGGTCCCATACCATGAAAATTGTACTTTTACTTCATGACGTTTACCATCTTCTTTATTTATCATTTCCTAAAGATAAAAATTTTAAAGGCAACACACTATTAAGACATTAACAATGTTCCTTCTAGTTCCATGTATATGTCAATTTAAAAAGTTACTTCACTGAAAAATGCTAACAGTCTCTAATATTCATAATTCTTGAACAAATACCCCAAATTTTACACTTCACTTTAGAATTTAACGCCTTCACAATAGAGACAAAAAATGAGAACACACTTCATCAAGGAAGAGATACACAAGACATCTACCAGTGCTTCTCAAACTTTATATAGTAAAGGAGTAGGCTTATTTTTTATTTCCCAATTGCATGAACCAATATGTTTGTAAGGTACAATAAAAATGAGATACCATAATATTAAATTTAAAGTTATATACCAAATATACAATCAAATCTTTTATTAGATTCAATAGGCATAAATTTACTCTGTCAAATTGTTTTCAGTTTCTGTAAACACTTCTAAACAGTCATAGCCTCTTATCTTGTGGACCAATAACAAACAGTTCACAAAGCAGCACCAACCACAGGCAGTCACTATGGACCACAAGAAGAAGGTTCATAAAGTTCATTCATCCTTTCTCCCAAAGTATTGGTGTAGAATATTTCTCTTCTGCATAAGTAATCTACACACATTAAAATAAAATGATAAACCTTGTATGAATTTCAGAACATACCTCCATAAGTCCAGACTGACCAAACCGAAGCTTAATAAAAGAGTTCTCTATAGTTATATCCTCTTCAGCACCTTTCATATTCTTCATGTTGAAAATTCCTTTATATTCTATGTTATTGTTATACAGGACATATTCAGCTAAATGTGGATTTGAACTTGTTGATTGTGAAATGGTATATACTTGCAATCCCAATGGTGGCATCTGTGCTGGAAAAGAGATCTTTTAAAGATAGAAGAGGGAATTTGTTAAAGAAAAACGTAATCTGAAACGAAGACCATTTATACTTCTAATGAAAACAACAAACTACCATACTTTTTAGAAAGAGAAAATAATATTATTCTATAAATGTAGAATATTTATAACACACATGTAGAATATCTATATCTCAGTTTATCCAACTTCAAGTTGGCAGGACTATCAAAGGTATTAATGTTTTCACTCAATAAGTGAAATTATGTGACCATCCTCAATTGCCCTACAGAGCTCTTAATGAATGTTCAGAGGGGGAAATTCTCTGTGACGGTAAGGGCTTACTGTGAACAATGATTTTTCCTAATTATTAGAGATCTTTTTACAATACTAAATTTCAGTACATTAAAATTAAAAATGGTTAATGCAATAATATAAATATTAAGCACAATAGTTCAGTCAACACTAGCCATCAAATGCCTGGAATCTAGCAGATACCAAACAAGGCAGAGGACATACCTACTATAAGATACTATACTGTGCTATAACAGAGCATGTACGTACTATAAGACAAGACCCTTGCTTTCCAAGAGCTACCATTCCATTTTCTAGATGGGGTGTTTCCTATAAAAACTGACTAATACCGCATTATACTTTTCGTTTCTACCTAAAGGATTATAAATTTATCAGAGCAGCCAGCAATGGCTTTTAACAAGCAGAAGCAAATCTCTTTTAGAGTTCATAGCTTATGGCTGTGTCTTCAGAAGCACAGTTAAAATTATAATCCAGACTCTAAAAGTTTAACCTTTCTAATGATGTCAGGGTTAATACTGCTTATTTTAAGAAATTTCCCCCCCCCAAATGACTATTACTTGAGCCCAGATTTTTCATAATCGTATTTCAAAGAAGAATCTTACTTATTTTAGGAAGTCCTTCCTTCATGATGTATTATGTCTCTCCTTTGTAATAAAGAGTTAAAAGCATCCAAAATTATTTAGAAGAATTATTTATCTCAATTTCAATATGTGTAACTGTCAATGAGTTAGACAAAAAATTTCCAAATTTTATGAGTAATGATTACTTCATTACTTCAAGAAAAAGTTACAATATACATACTTACAAAGATCTATAATATACATACTAATTAATATATCCCCATAATAACATACAATACACATACTAACAAAGATATTAATATTTTAGGAAACACAGGATCTATTTTCCTTTAGTGTGTCATTTAACTGGCTAGGTATACCCTCTGGTTCTTACAACTTTAACCACTTCATATACACCAACTTGATAGCTCTAGAGATTGTATATGTGTGTGTGTGTGTGTGTGTGTGGGTGTGTGCGCGCGTGCGTGCGCATTATATATAAACTATATATTGGCTATGCCTCTTTAAATTCTATGGCAAAAACATACCTTGTAGGCTGTCTGTGAAACAGTACTTCCTTTATCCCAAACTGCACTCATTTGAATTTCCACAGGCCTTCCTGAGGCAGAGGACACTTGTACTGTGGGGGAACTCACATGTACCGATACCACCGAATTTCGTTCTTGTTCTGAAGGATTATAGACCACAAGATACCTGCAAAAACAGGTGCTTCACTAGTGGGGACTCAGAATATTTTTACTTCTTTAATGCTATTTGTAAGAACTTGGCTCAAAGAGAGTCAACATGTGGAGAAGAATTATAAAGAACATTCTGGTAAAACTTTGGGGGGACAAGCAATTTCATCACAACAAATACTGCACAATACAAAAGGGTAATGAAATTATGACTCACTTTCTAAGAATAAAATGTTATACAAATGGAAGACGTTAATAGAATTTTAACAAAGTTATTTCTATGTCCCAGAAAATGACCTGTATAAAGATGGGTTTTTTGATCTAAAAGAATCAGCTCTATACAAGTAATATCTTGATCCCTGCCTAATCTCGCTGAATAAGAAAACATGTCTTTTGCAATTTAGCCATAATTAATTTCAATTAAAGTTCTGACATTTATTTCAGACCACTAAAACACATAAAAAAATGTATAGCTATACATGCAGAATCACATAATTCATTTGTATATTTTATATACAGGGGACCGTTTTCTTCAAGAGTTATTTGGTTCTGGAAAAAAAAAAAGGTTATTTTTAGTAAGCCCACTTAAAATAGAGGCTAAAATGTTATAATAAATAGTGGTGGAAAAAAAGATTTGATTGGGACTTAGCAAGAAAAAGGAAAACAAAAACTATTAAAATAAGTTTAGGTAATATTTGCGACTATGTGCAATTCTTAGAATGAACAAAAAATGATTGAACTGAGGTTTGGGGCAGAATTTTTCCAACAATATTTTATACTAGGACATTATGTCATCCTTCATATAATATTTAATTTTTACAGGATGGTTCTAAACATAACTATATTTGTAAAAATAAAAAGCCAAGGACTTCATTTTCCTAAAAGTTCTCTCTCAATTCTTAGATATTCAAATAATTTTCAGATAAAAAACCTAACACCCTTGATTTTCTCAGTAGCATAACTCTGCCAGCTCCTCATTGTTTCATGGCTTTACCTGTGAACAGAAATGTTCAGCAGTTCCCAACCTTTTGGGTACCAGGGACCAGTGCACCTATGAGAATCTAATACCAGATGATCTGAGGTAGAGCTGAGGTGGTGATGCTAGTGCTGGGGAACGGCTGCAAGAACAGATAAATTTCGCTCCCTCGCCCGCCGCTCACCTCTTGCTGTGCGGCCCGATTCCTAACAGGACACAGACTAGTACCAGTCCTCGGCCCAGGGGTGGAGGACCCCTCTTCTGGACCATGACACAGACTTCATGAAATCTGCAGCCTTTGAAAGATTTATGATTTTACTTTATAATCGATTTGCATCGTATTATCTTTAATTTAATCAAAGATATTTCAAAGAGGATATTTGACCAATAATATAACTTACTGATTCATTAGTGAATATTTTCATGATCAGAAATATTTTGTTTTCCTACATAATTTTTAAATTGTAAGAATACAGAACTGAATAGTCAGATAGCAACTACTTCTCTTCCTGAGTCACAGTATCTGTATCAGAGAAGGTAGAAGCAAGCAGCATTTATTGAGTGCATATCCTACATACATGTCCTATAAATTTCAGCTGCATTAAAAATTGTTCATTAAAAAATAAAATTAATACCTGCAGTGGCCAAAACTAAAGAAAAGACAACAGGGAAGCACAGAGATAAAGAAAAGGGGATGGAGCATAAAATCTATAAAATGTTTGGCTTATAAACTGCTTATCAGGAGAAGCACTTAAATTAAAATATTAAATTAAAATATTTTGAAATAATTGAGATTCATTATGTATATGAGAGAAGAACAGCTGAAGCCTGTAGTTACAGAGGCCACTGAAGCCTCCTAATACTAGATTAAAATTCGTCCCATCTTTCTTTTTTTATTTTAAGCAATTCTCAAGGAGAGTGAGGGTAATGCCCGCTTGAGAGAGATGCTTAACAGACTTACCTGAGGGACCTGTCAACCTGTTTGCACCCTCCCACTGCCCTCTACCAGAGGTTACATTTCATCTGGCTGTTGTCCTATCACAAGCACATCGGAGAATCACAACTGCCAGGATTCACTGTTACTAACGGACTTTACTATATTCCTAAGGTGCACTGGGGAAGAAAAGCAGCTCATCCTTGGCAACAAAGATGTTCAAATCGGCGCTCTAAAAATTAGTGATTTACTACTGAACCCCAGAGGCTTAGAGCTATTATGTGAAGAACTCTAGAAGACATGGTCTGAAGACTTCAGCCAGTCTCCTATTTCTGCAGAAGTCCCAAGGCACACCCTGGTACTGAGGCTAGAATTCCTACTGGCAAGTCCTTGGGATGCTCCACTACATAGAACTGGTCAGAAAGATTCTGATAATAAAATGCAACATGAGCCCACGCAACAAATTAGGTAACAAGCATCCAGAACACTGATTCCTTCCCATGGGGGAAAAAAAAAGACTCGCATTTAAAGCAAATAATAATTTTAACCATACATTTGGTTTTGTACAATATTAAATCACTTTTCATAATAAGCTGTAAACTAGGTTCTGTTTTGTTTTGTTTTAGCAGCTAATTAGTATTTGACCATAATGATGTTTCTACTGTACTGAATGATTATGTAATTATCATGCCAGGAATCTATTCAAAAACGAAATGTGTAGAGTATATAATGAGTATAATGCTGCGCTAAGAAAATAATTTTTTAACATAATTAGAGATTCACAGCATGTTCTTCAAGTGCACCACAGCACATATTTATCTGACACGCACAAACTCCTATCTATGTACATTTTTAGTAGAGTACAGAGAAAGCATGATTATATACGAATTATATTTCCTTTGGAAATAAGTACACCGTCAAAAAATAACTAAATTTTCATTGTCATTATCATGTTTGGTAGTCAAACATTTGTTATATTGCCAGTATCCTCAAACATGAACCCTTTTAAGCCCTTCAGTTGTGAATGGAACCAACGGGTTTCAACATCATAATATCATGATCACTAAGCCCCCACAACTTGGGGTTATTGGCAATTATCTCAATTCTCTACACACAAGGAACAACCCTCACCTCATGAAGACAAAGCTTATTCATATGTTACCTGCCAATGAATTAGAGGGCAGAAGATGATCTACTCTGGTAGAAAAAGGAATGGAGAAAAATGAAAGGCCATCTGCATACTCATGTCAAACTGGGAATAACTTTATAGAAGAACTAGTATTCCACTGTAAACATGGTTCTGTCCTTGAAGATGAGTATTGTTTACAATTCTCTCACCCCTTCTGTAGAAATGATTCATGTCATGTTAAGAAAGACACTGTGGCGATCTAAGTCCTCTCTTTGAGGCAAAAATAATCAGTGCCTGCTATGAACAACAGACTAGGCCCACATGGATTTCCATGCAGGATGGATGAAGAATAGAGCGAAAGAAATGTGCCCCTTTGTCAGAGTAACCTTGGCATTACTGCTCACAGAGTGCCTCCTGTATGCTGGGCCCAGTCCTCTGGCCTATATGGGCAACTACGAGATACAGCCTTTCATCCTTCCCACTAGACAGATAAGGAAACTGAGGTTCAGCGAGGTTAGGTATGTCACCAAGACTCACCCAGCTAAAAGTGACACAACAGTCTTACCCTTACAGCCATCTTTTTAACCATTTTACTGAAAGGTCAAGCTTATAAGGACCTTTTGACAAATGAGGTTTCCTCCGGAGATTACCTTAGCTTCAAATTCATATGTGAAGAACTTTCTCCTCACCAATGCCAGAGATCCCCACAGAGCCTCTCTCCTCAGGAAGCTCCAGAAGAGCAAAAAACTATTTACAGTTCGTGTACATTATATTTGTGAAAGAAAATGTATAAACTGGAACATTGGCACAGCTAAACACTTGCAATATATTAAGGAGTTCTCTATGACCTCACTGTATGAGGTAAGTAAAAACAATATTCAAGGACGCATTTTAAAAAACTACATATTTTCATGACTGTGTAAGGAAGATAAAAATGAAAATACTTGCAAGTCCTCTGTAAGTGTAGTTTAAAGCCAATTAAGGAAACACTATGTTATATAAAAAATAATTTTAACTGCATGCCTAGCGCAGTACCTGCAACAGAAAAACATTCAATAAATAGTTGATGAATGAGTAATACACAAAATCCCACTAGAAGAATTTATCATTTATAAATAATACCTACTGGTGTGGGACTCTATAGTTTTACGAGATCATTTTCATTTTGATTATTCAAATTCCTCAAAAAATGCTTTTAAGGTCAACAGTTATGTATTTAATCCCTCTGCAAAGATGGGGGAAATGACAGATCCAAGATCACAGAGAAAGTGAAAAACAAAGCAAAGAGTAGAGCTCAGTTTGTGTGGTTCTTAATCCATGATGGCATATAAAAAATTCATTTCAAACAAGAATATATTCATCTTCTGTAAGTAGCTTCATTAGTGGAACATCGTTTTAAAAAGAGTAATAACCTTTATACAGTATTCTAAATATGGATATATTTAAATTTATGTTTACAAAAATTGCAATTTCTAGATTTGAAGTCTTTTTAATATAGTCCACCTAGTTTTCTAGGTTTAAAACATAATGCTTAGCATATTATCTGCCAGAAAAAAAAATCAAGATATGAAAACAAAGGAGTCTTTTTGAGATATATTAGGTCTTCAAAAATCACACGCAGATCTGTGATTTCTGGACTCTGGAGTCAGACACATTCAAGCTCAAAACCTCACCAAAGCATTTAGAATTTAAGCAGCTCTGAACAAGTTATTTTATTTTTCTAAGGCTTAAAATCTTCCTCGATGAAATCAGGAGATAAGATTGTTGTTAAGGTTAAATGATAAAATGTTTGGGAAATCACATTGCTCAGACTTGGCACAAAGTAGAACCTCAATAGCAATTAATTTCTCTCTTTTTCTTTACAAGACTCTCCTGGCATCCTGACCAGGGACCATGGTACATGAATCATACTGGATGGTAAAGTGAATGTTTTAATTAACCCAGGTCACTGAGTTGCCTTAAGTATTTTTTTCTTCTTTT